TAATTTTCAAATAAAAACACGCGCGGTTGTAATGCGCATGTGCTGTGCGCCTCCAAATTGCAGAGCTAGATATGTTGGTTTAGAGAATTATTCAAACTGATCCACAAAGGGGGCAAATCAAGTGTGGGGGTGTTGCAGGGATTTAGTTTGTTGGTAAGGAGGGCCTCCCAAATATATATAATATTTCTGTTATTGCACTGTCTTATTATGGCCACCTCGTCCCACAACGGGGTATGTTGGTGTTGTAATACCATTTTAGCGAGCTCAGTTTCATTCTTGCCTTCCCTGATAGAATACTGATGTTCCGTAATACGACACGACAACATTCTTGTTGTCGCGCCAATATATTGAGTGCGACCACCCGACATGTTTTCTAATGGGATAGAATAAATCCCCGATCTTTCTAGAATGGAAGTAGGATCTCTGTCATTGGACAGCAACCTCCTAAGATTTGGCTGTGGGGAAATTGGCAAAAATAGGGCATGCTGCCTAAAAATACGGCAAATACGAAGAGTGATATGACCACAAAATGGTATTGCAGGAAGGGCTATTGCTGATTCTTTTGGGAGATGCAGTGTAGTAGGAGGAAAAAGCAATCTTTTTACTTTGTTTAAGATGTAGATAAATTTAGCACTATTGTAGCCCGCCTCATTTACCGCACAGTGAATGTTATTAAGTTTGGTATCGATAGCAGCTTGACTGGAAGATAAAAGAAAGGCCCTCCTAATTAAAGGTGCGATTGCCGCATTGATGTAATGTTGTGGCTGGTATGCTGTTGCGGGGATTAGGGAGAGGTACATCGTTGAACTTGTGGAATACGGAAGACATTATGATATCCTGGAATTTAACAATTTTTAGATCTAAGAATGCTATGTCATTTTCTTTGTCTTTTTTCCAGGTAAAATTAATTGCGGTATAAATGGTCGCGAGATGATCTTTGAAAGCTAGGAAGTCTTCATGGGTGTCCTGCCAGGCTACTAGCACATCATCAACATACCTAAGATATAACAGTGGATATGCTATTATGCGGGGAAAATTAAAAATTCTAAACTCAATATTTCTCATGACCAACTCCGCTAAGACCGCTGAAAGCGGTGAGCCCATCAGGACTCCCTGTCGCTGTAGATATACTTTGCCCTTGAATTGGAAGTAATTGTTTTCAGAAATAAAGAGTAGAGCTTCGCGTAGCTCTAAAACCTCAAAATCATTGGTAATTAATACCTGTATGATAAAAAGTTTATTCTATTAAATAGTTGGCGTGCTGTCCAATTTTGTATTATTGATTACAGATTTGTTTTGTAGTATGCAATAAAAGCATACAGGAGCAGTATCAACATATAAAATGGAGAATTTTTGAGTTTCTTTTGAAAGATTGATTCTGGATTTTCCAATCATTTTCTATTCTTAAGCTTGATGTTTATTATTAACTAGCTGTTACCCGCGACTTCACCCACGGGGATTTTGCAAGGAAACCCCATTTATATTCAGTATTTCAACAACCATAGTAATTGTTATATAACACCTACCGCTAAGAATGATGAGAATTGCTGAGAATCAAACGAACTGTTTTCAATTTGATCAATTTTCTGAAACATTTACAATCATTCTATAATCGAACTAATATGCAATAACATATTCAAATTTAAAACAATTCGAACATTTGGTTAAAAAATCAAAATATATAAAAATATTTATAACAATGTCTGAAATGTTATCAATTTAATACACCTAATGAAGACTAAACGTAGTTGAAAACAAAAAATTGCATCTAAAATAGTACAGTAGAAGCTGTTTTTCAGGTTAAGCCTTAATCCTCTTCCCCCGCGGGGGAATTTCAAAAAATCCCTTCTTAGTGTATGTTTTCTTGGCATACCCTAACTGTGTACCAAATTTCACCTCTTTAGGTTCAACGATTTGCTCTGGGCAATGATGAATCAATCAGTCAGACAAGTAATTTTATATATTTAGATTAATGAATGTACTGTGCTCTTGATGTACTGGCAAATCGTTAATTTTTCTAAACTAAAATAAAGTTTAGAAAATATTCAAAAGAATTGCTAAATAAAAATTAAAACCATGGACTTATTCTTTTTAAATTTAATTACTGGCTACCTAGTATTAATAAATAAATATTAATTATGTACAATATTAATATAATTGTGAGAATCCAGAAATGGATTATTTTAATTTCATTTTGAATATGTTAAATTTGACATTAATATAATATTTTAACACATTTCTGTCAAATTTGTGGGAACATCTCTCCCAAAGGGAAGTAAAACTTCCTTTGGGAGAGATGTTATCACATATCTCCGACGAACATCTGTCCATTTGAGTCAGAAATAATATTCCATTAGATGTTACAAATCCTAAAACCCAACTGGATGGAAATTTGGGATGAAAAGAGGTAAAATTGCAAGCTCAAGCAGACTGACATAGAAGGCAGATGACCTTAGAGGGAACTGATACATATAAGTGTGGAAGCCATAGGAAGAGCATAGTCCCACTCCAGATCCTCATCATCAGTCTCCATCTCATTAGGAACTTGAATCAAATCTCCATCAGCCGAGAATCGCCAATTAACCTCTCTATAAGAAGAATAATAACCAAAGATCGATTGTGCAACAGTCCAACAAAAAGATCAACATTTATCAACAGGTAGTATATTTTTATTGAAGTAAACTCACTCTCTTGCCTTTAGATAGGGACATTAGAAGCTATCAATGTGTAATTGTATATTTGTATGTTTGTATTCATTATTCTCATTAAATGTTACTTTTCATTTTTTTAATTGATCTCGTTCATGATCCTAAATATATGCCGAAGTCTTATTGAGAGTCCACGATCCTCCTCCTCAGACAAAAATATAAAAATATTATTTTGCATGCCTAATGCACTAATTAGGCTGGTGTCAGGAAAAATCTAAAAGAAGATCATAAGAACTTCCTGATGACAAAAAAAAAAAAAAAAAAAAAAAAATTAATATTATCTCTCAGATATGAAGCTGAACATGAGTGAGAGAGAATATTCTCTTAACCCTGGATTCCCACATAATATAATAATAATATACAATATTATATTAAAAATTGTTGTTATTTAATTTAACTTAAGCGTATTTAAAAACAAATTCTTGGATGTCATTTATATTACATAAATGTCAATTAACACAAGCTTTATTAATTAATTTGATTTAGATTCAACTGCAGCACATACCAAAACATGGAAATAGTATCCTTCCTGCATGCACATTAACATCTAATTTAAACAGCAATGTCATTGATGACATTGCTGTTTAAATTACATTTCAATGTGCACAGAGGAAGGAATTTAACTATTTATGTCATGATGTCTAATGGTGCAATATTAACACCACCAACTTTCAAATCAGTAGTCACATCATTGATTGGTCATTGATTTTCTTTAACATAGGAAGTATAGGGAGTTAACTTTGTCACTCCACTCTGTAGCCTACTCTTGTCGAGTAGCTTGTTCGGTAACCAAGTTATTGTACAGCAATGAAAGCATGAGTTCAAAATTTTGTTCATGAATTGAATTGTTCAAAAACTGAGGTTTAAATGTATTCAAAAAAAACATTGCTACCAACAGTTTTTGATAGTTATTACAGCATCATCTAATGGCTGTATTTGCAACCATCTTTTAACTATATTTATCCTATATTTATCTGGATGCTTAAAATATGATTTTTCATTTTAAAAACAAAAATAAAGTAAGTACTTACAGGCAAATTAAAAATGTAAGCAGAAAAATAAACCAAAAAATATGTAAAGCATATGGGAAAAACATAGAACCTGTCAACATTGACAAATCATGTATATAATTAAATTTTTTATAGTAAGCAAGATCAAATGTATCAAATTCAAATCTAAATTTCAGAAAAGGATAGTGTTCCAACTAAATTGAGAAATTAATAAAGCAAGATATCAGGTCTAGCAATATCATCACCCACATTGTCATCAATGAAGCTACCTCACTGACAGAAATTCAGTGATAGCGATGTGATCAAATCCTTGTGAAAACACTTTCAGAGTTTTCACACGGATTCAGATGTTCACAAGGATTTAATGTTCCTTCATCTTGATCATAAAGAATTCTAGAAAGTTCACATTGATTGGCTAATATCATTATAACAAAGATAAGTATTGAGTCTTGGATAACTTTTGAATGATCAAGACAAAAGTGCAATGATAACTATCATAAATGTTTTGTAAACAATAAAAATATCAATATTGCTGTGAGATTTGTCTACCAAGAATATTTTTGGATTACAGAGACTAAAATCGTCATATTAACTAATATACAGCAAACCATTTATATATATTTTGAATAAAAATATCAAATGTAAACATTGACTCCAACATTCTGGAAGAAGCTTTACTGTAAAACTTTTCTCATTGAGACCAACTAAGAAGTTAATAAACATTTCAAACAACTAGCAATTTTATCATTCAATATTTACTTTGATCTGGACTCTGAAATGTTTTGTTACAAATTCAGAAATGAATTTACAAATGAATTTTCATACAGTTCCTAAATATTAATAAAATGTAGTCATTTGGATAGATTGGTGCTTAATTTTGTTCTGCTTTGCATTTGGAATAATTTGATTCTGTGCATAGGTGGCTTTATTTTATTTCCTTTAAATGTATGTTTGAGCCTAAGGAATTTGGGAAACTATCCATTGTCTTCACATGATAATTTTTTTCTGCTTTTAGGTGGCTTTGTTATTTTATATATAATTTATTATTATTTTCTTCAGATAGTTCTCCCCATGATTTTGATTATGTTGACATTTTGTTATATATATATATATTCTGTAATAATTCATTAATTATAGTATTACTGTGATTTTTTTTTACTGTTATGTATTGGTTTTTGTAATTTGTATAAGGGTGAAACCAATATGCATAAATAAATAAAAAAGATATGATAAAATGTAAAACATCATATAGTATTGATTTCAAAACGAAAGATATACGAACCAAAGTGCTGACTGAACAATTCACCTTGAGCAGCTAACTGATGAACGCTTCTTTCTGGAATGTATAATCATTATTAGAAAATATTTTAAAATCAAAAATATTAAAGTATAAAAATTTGAGTCCCTCCTCACCTGGAAGTTGGCAGGCAGTCTGTGTCTGGACATTCCCTCTTTGCAAATTGGTCAGAACAGTGGATGGCTATAATTGTAAATAATTCATTTAAAAAAAACACACATTAAAATTAATATGAAATATACAAGTATATCAATTTCACATTACTTTCACACATTAAAATTAAAAACAAATAATAGTATAGAGTGGAATCAATAATAATATGCCAAGTCATAACTATATTTCATAAAATTACTGGGCAAATACATTGTAGTATCTACAAACTGCAAATGTCTAGCAGTCCAGTCAGATAATGACTCTCACTTGTCACTGCAACATAACAATATCCTCGCTTTTATAATTGGGAAGATGATTATGAAGTCCAAATATGTTATTGAAATGAGAAGAAATAAAAGAGTTGATAGCAAAGCACAAAGATATCCCATTCCTTTCTATGCTCAAATCATCACAGTACATCTCAGACATGCTGGTTCTGCTCAGTTTTAAAGTCAAAGAACACCAGACATTTGGCACCACCCCGACACCAGTGAGAATCAAAGAACAAGCGAAGCACACAAATTGCAGATAGTTTTGGAATAAATATCTTCCCATTGGAGACATTTCTACACTATCACAATAACTTCTTAGCACAGTTCAGGCATTAATGAGCATTCAATTACACACAAAATAGTTGCAAACCACGCAACCCAATATTTTGAAAACTTCGAAACTTGTCATGAGGAAGGATAGGGCAAACTATTTTGCCCTATCCTTCCTCATGACAAGTATCCAGATAAGTGACCTCCATTTCCAAAACCACAAAGTCTAAATAAGCCATATCCCAAAACACTTTTAAAAGGCACATCATACATCGGTTACAAACAACAATCAAGGAATGCAGCAAAATATTACAATGCACTCAATTACAAGTTTTGACAACAAATTAACGGTGGCACACAAGTATATGTGCAATTACATAGACTGACGCATCAATGTCACATTGTCACTTCTCGACTGACATTGCAGATTTATCATCCCTTCTGCTGACAGTTTTCCCAATACAACGATCTTCCACATGCACAATATTGTTCCCATAATGCACTTTCAACAAATATCCAGCAATACTGTAATTCAGATATAATTTTTTAAGCAGTTAAGGCATAAAACTATTCTTCTTTAACCAGGCCAGTGGGTTTGCAGACATTCCCATATCCACAAAGATTTTACACACAGTCCTAGTCATAAAAATAAGTATACACCCACATAATATGTTACCAACACAAAAAAAACAACAAAAAATTGATAACAGGAAAAAGTAAATATAAATTAAATATAGTTAAATAAAGTTAAATATACATAAGAAAAACACTTTGTGCATAATTTTAATATTTTGTGGAATATCTTTTGGAACCGTGATTGTTCCGAAAGGCATCAACTTAACCAAACTTTCCATTACTTTTGGGTCAATTTTGAAGCATTCCTCTAAATCAGGGGTGTCCAACCTTTTTGTTTCTCTGGACCACAAATATATTATATATACTGCACTTGTGACCCAAGTATATTTTGGCCCAATCATATAATCTAGACATGTTGGGCCCAAGTATACAGTAGGTGATCGGTTAATGAACAAATCGGATAACGAACACTTTCGCGGAAGATTTTTATGATCGGACAACAAACACATGTTCGGATAACGAACACTTCACTGAACAAACACAAGAAAAAGCGACGTAAAATAACGAACACCAATTGGTCTTCCTTTCTCTTCAGGCAACAATTCAAAACTTTTCGGAGCGCGGGAGACGTCGACATTGACATTCTACCCAGTATATACTGATCGGATAGTATTCCCCCCCCAAACTTTGAAACTCTCCCTTGTAATTCCAGTCTTTTATATTTCTGACAGAAACAATTCTTTTATGTTTTCTTCTGAAAATGCGGATTTATGCTGATATCTGCTATTAAAGATTTTTTGGAGGATGTCAGAACAACGGTCTTAAAATGGCATCCAAACCAAGTTGAGGTTAATAGGCCTAGGGATCTCTACATTTACAATGCTATTAATTAGTTCTGAAAAATCATGAATAAGACAGAAAAGTAATCGACATTGGACAGATTCTTTAACCCCCACAAACGGAAAAAACATGACTAATAAAAAATGCAAGACCATGTATATATGTATTTTTATTATTATACATGAATAAACGTAGTAAGAAAGTATATATTTTTTATTTTTTTGGGATCTCCAGAACGAATTAATCAAATTCCCATAGAAACCTAAGGTAAATCGATAATCGGTTAACGGACAATTCGGATAGCAAACAAAGTCTTGGAACAGATTATGTTTGTTAACCGATCACCCACTGTATTTGGGCCCAACATGTCTAGATTATAGTAATAAGTATTAAAACTTTATTACGAAAAAGGATTTTAAAAAATTACTTCTACAGACACTTTCAATTTTTACTTAGAAATATTGTAATAGATAAAATTCATTTATTATAAAGGAAACAAACATACATTTATTTGAAAAACACAAATATTTGTTTTATTTGGGTCTCTAATTAATAAAAAAACGACTAAACACCATTTTAAAGTGCATTTTTATTCAACTAATCTATATACACTGAAGAGCAATTGAATTAGGGATAGCTGGCATTATGCAAATTTTGAGTTGTGCATAAACATAAAAGTGATTTGCAGATGAGGTAAACAGCAGTTTGACAAGATAAGGAGTGCTGCTAATGGTATCAATAATAGTCAGAAGCAAAATGAGTAAGAGTAAAGATCTAAGTGAATTTGATCATGGACAAATCGTCGGGCCCCAACAAATGGGTCACTCCATTTCAGAAGTAGTGGAAACACTGGAATTTTCACGCACCACTGTGTCAAGGGTGTACCGTGAGTATTTCAATTCCGGTAAAACCATCGCTGCCAGGGTCAACTGCTGTGAACAACAGCATGTGGATGAGCAAGGTCGTCAGTAGCTAGCCCGCATTGTAACAGCGGATAGACGGGCCACAGTACAACAGATCATCCATCGATTTAATGCTGGTGCACAGCAAGGTGTAAGCTGCCACATCATACAAAACCATCTTCTCTCAATGGGGTACAGGAGTCATCGTCCTATGACAGGGGTCCGCAACCTGCGGCTCGCGAGCCACATGCGGCTCTTTGGATGTAAAGCTGCGGCTCTTTAGTTCCATACGCAAATATTATTTATTTTATCAAAAAAAAAAAATTTAAAAATCGTTCTGAATCGATTAACGAGNTATTATTTATTTTATCAAAAAAAAAAAACATTTAAAAATCGTTCTGAATCGATTAACGAGGATTAGGCACCGATTCTATCTCTCAGCCACTTGTACTCGCTTTTCATCACACCCCTCCCCCGCGACACGCGTCATCACTCCGTCCGAAGCTCTCGAATGACGCCGTCATCGGATGTTCCTATGAGGTTTAATTCGCTTTCGATGGAAGACAATTCTGAATAAATAGATTAGTTTTTTTTTCAAAAAACTTTATTAATGCAAGTACTATTTATTGTTGGCAAGAAAAAATTTTGTAGATCTTTAAAAACTTTCAAATTTTGTAAATTGTAATTTTTGGCTCTTCCGACTCAAAAGGTTGCCGACCCCTGTCCTATGAGAGTCCCCCTGCTGACTGCACAAAACAGGTTGCAATGATTAGCATGGCACAGGAGCATTGCCAATGGACTATCAAGATGTGGAAAAATGTTGCCTGGAGTGATGAGTCGAGATTCATTTTAGTACATGCTGATGGCAGAGTACATGTACGCCGTAAACCACATGAATCAATGGATCCTTCCTGCCAGCAGGGGACACTTCAAGCTGGCAGAGGTGGCATTCTTGTGTGGTGACTGTCCACATGGACTGAAATGGGACCCCTGGTATGTGTGACAGTGTCGCTGATGGGTGAACGTTACCGGGATATCCTTGACAACCATCTGCTCCTGTTTGTTCTTTCTTGACAGCTTACTACAGAGATTGTCTTTCAAGAAGAAAATGCACTGTGCCATTGCTCCCAAATTGTATCGGAATGGTTGGATGAACATTCCACAGATCTGCACATGCCTTCCTGGCCATCACGATCACCTGACCTCAATCCACTGAGCACATCTGGGATGCAATTCAGAGAGACGTACCAGGCTTGACCACCTTCCATCTAATCTTCGTGATTTGTGAGAGATTATTCGGGGCTCATTGGTATGTACGGCTTCCCATCGCTTCCAGTGTCTTGTGGAGTCCATGCCAAGACAAATCGCAGCCATCATCAAGGTAAAAGGTGGTGCGACATGCTACTAGACAGGTATCCCTAATTCAATTGCTCTTCAGTGTATATAACTAGCAGATAAGCCCAGCATTGCTTGGGCAAAAAGTAACAATAGCAAAAATTAAGATTATTACATTACAGCCAATCTTACTTGTTTTTACAGAATGCAAGAATTAGGTTCCCGTTTCCAGATTAATTAGAAAATTTTTAGATGGGTCTAAAATTATGTTCAATATAACGCAAAAAACCGCATCTGCGCCTGTAAATCTTGCACGTTGCTTTCTCTTAACACTTCCATTGTTGAAGCCTTAATCCTGACCCTTTCCCCGTGGGGAGGGGGAATTTCAAAAAATCCCTTGTTAGTGTGCGTTCTTGTGACATACCCTAATGGTGTACCAAATTTCAAGTTTCAACTCCTAACCGTGCTGAAATGCTCGTATACATGCGTGCCATCTATCGTAGGATAAATGGACTATGTTAGAAACCTTCACGGGAGTGTATTAAACAACTTCCCAAAGTTTCATGTGAACCGGATAAATGGTATAGTAATGCATGAAGGACAGACAAACAGACAGACATACATTCATTCATTTTCATATATATAGAAAATAAATGTATGTCTGTCCATCTGTCTTTCATGCATTACTATACCATTTATCCAGTTGACATGAAACTTTGGGAAGTTGTTTAATTCACTCCCACGATGGTTTCTGGCATAGTACATTTATCCTATGATAGGTGGCACGCGTGTATAGGAGCATTTCATATATAAAGTTGACATGAAGAGCGCATGCACATAAGTTTGCTTTATTCAAACTCTTCGTCTTAATGTTCGATTTTATGTTTGAATTTATATTTATGAATGATTCTGGAAGATCCAGCTTATTTTTCGAATTTAGTAAACCTGAAGAACCCAGAAAGCGTTACAAAAATGTTTATTCATCACTTAGTGGGTGCATTTACTTTTAGCTCCGATCTCGCCCCTAGCGCGCTCAGCCTGTATACATTTTCTTAGCTACCAATGAGCATGGTGTTTACTTTTCACACCCGTGACGTCATTGCTAGCATTCCTAGCATGCTCGGCATGCTTAGAGAATTTACAACGAGTTTGGAGTTTGTTCAAAGATGGCGGCATCCATTACTGTGTATACTTTTACAAGCGTGCTAGTATGATGTCAGGCTGCGCTAGGTGTCAGCTCGGTGAGCTTGGAAGCTAGAAAAAAGTAAATGCATCCAATGGTACTATGCACTGGTTAGTGGTTGCAGTGAGTATTAATTATCATTATCCCGATGTGGTAAGCAGATATCTAAAAATTTTCTAAGTAGTCTCAGAAGAGGGGGGACATTCTTGCACTTGATAAAACAGGTAAGATCGGCTATAATCTAATAATCTTAACCTGTCCTATGTTGATCCTGAAAATATTCGTGTTGACATCGGAACGTTTTTGATATTAGATGTCGCTTCGCATCACAATTTTTATATTAAAACAAACTTTTAAAATAAATTTTTTTTGTTTTTATATTATTTAATATATATATTTTGTTCATGAAACATTAAAAAAATAATAATTTTTTACAATACAGTAAACACGTTTATTATTTAAAAAAAAAAATTTAGGCTTAACATCAACGAAAATTCAACATGGTGTCACAGGCAACAAATAAAAATTTCAATGTCGAATAGGTTAATCTTCGCTATCAATACTTTTTTCCCGAGCAATGCTGAACTCATCTGCTAGTATATTTATAAATAATATGTAGCCCAAAAAGTAGCCAATGTGCCAAATTATATTTTTTACGCCAAACCAATAAAAGAGTAGCCAAATCTTGCAACGCTGGACGGACTACTAAAAAAGCTGGAGTTGGGACTCAAAGGTTTATAGACCAAAAGAAGGGAAAGGAGAGAATGGACAAAAGAAAAAGAAGTGAGAAAAGGTTGGAAAATTAAAGGTCAATATTTGCATAACAGAAGGTCTATTTAACCTTCCTCGCTACTTTTTATCTTTTGGCCTTTCTCTCCTTTCCCCAAATTTGACTCTATACTCCTTTGAGTCACAATTCCAGCTTTATTTAGTATACCTTCCTCATTCACACATTTCCAAGTATTTGAAAATATTTCCTTTCCACTCAAAAATAAAATATGTATAAAAGTTTATGGCTTTGTGAAAGTTCTTTTTTGAGTTTATGCCATTGAAATAAATAAAAAAATTTGTCAGTTTTGTTTACACGTTTATTGAGCCACATTGGAACTTGCCTTGGGCCGCAAGTTGGACACCTCTGCTCTAAATGAATGCATTTTAGATTTCCTTTGCTTCTGATATCACATTTTCTTATTTTTTGCTCCGAATGATCCCTTAAACATTCCGTGGGATTTGTATCCAGCAACCAAGGTAACGTTTTCAATTGGCAAACACAGTATAGCAACCATTCCTTAATGATTACAGAAGTCAGAAATGTAAACCAAAGCCCAAAAATTTATATGAAATACCATTAAAACACAATCTTTGGACTACTAGTCGCATATTATGTCATGCCTATTATCGCAACCAAATACAAAAATGAAACCGTCATTTACAAAGTTAATGGTCAAAAGCGAACGCTTTGGAAAATATCACATAAAATACGGTCGCAATTCGAAAATAGAGCGATATTTTCCGACAAAAGTAAATTTAACATCAACAACTCAGACAAGCAAGAGAAAGCATGGCGTAAATCAAATAAAGAACTCAATTCTAAGAATGCGACCAAATCTGCGACAGCATGGGGACACAGGGTGGCATCCGGAAAAGAAATAATTTAAACAGTAATGTCGAAATCTCAGACCAACGTTACTGTTTAAATACAGTAATACCTCGATTTATGCTACCCTGACTTACGCGAACCCGGAGTTACACAATTTTTAAATCTCGTCGATTCGTTTAAGTGCCACGCAACCCTTAATCAATCCCCCCACACTATTGTTCAGCTTACATGTTTGGATGTGTCGTGCGGAATCTACGCATAGCTACAATTTATTTTGTGTTATTTATTTCTGTGTTTGTTATATCTATGGAGACTTGAGAGACTACTGTGTCATCCAAACAAAGTAGAACTAATTCTTCTGCATAAAACAAGAAAAAAAAAACTTTATCTTTGGAATGTAAAGTTAACATTGGGTACGTTCGTAAAGTTGAACGAGTTAAACAAGAATGACGTCATCGTTATTCCTATTTCGTTAGACTTTTCAAACGATTCGTTACTAACGCGTTTAACTCTACGAATGTACCCATTATTAAAGAGTTTGATACAAAAATGAAAATTTGTGAATTGGCAAAGAAGTTCGATCTACCGGAATTGACAGTCAGAACAATTATAAAAGGCAAAGAAAAAATTCCCGAAGCGGTGAAAAATGCTCAATCTTTAAATTCGAGCATCATTCGTAAACATCACGGTATTATCGCTGAGATGGTAACAATGTTAAAATTATGGCATGATAATCAAGTAAATGTGAAAAATTGTATAATGATATAATTTGTTATACATATGTATTATCTAAGATTTTATTAAACATTTTTTTCTAAATTATTGTTTTCTTTAGTCTCCGGCCCCAATTAAAAATTATTTGTATGTATTTATATGCAAAATTATACCCCGACTTACGCGAATTCGACTTACACGGTTACTGCTCGGTCCCACCTATCGCGTAAATTCGGGGTATTACTGTATCTTAAAGAAAAAGAAAATTTTAAAAGAAAACGGCAGGAAGTGGGGGCTCAACGGGCAGCTTATTTTCCAACAAGACTATCCCAAACTCACCCAGTCGCACCGTACGTGCAGGCAACCGAAATGAAGCCCAGATGGCGCCGTCTAGAAAGACAAAAAAAAAAAAAAAAAAAAAAAAAGAAAGTCAGAAGTAAAAGAGATTCAAAATGCATTCTCTTATAGGAACAGTCCCAAATAGATTCAAAAGACGCAGAAAATCTGGACGAACCAAGCCTCCAGAAACGACTGCAGCGGCGAAAAGACATCCCGCAAAATATTAACGTTCCGAGCTTTCAAGAAATGCATTTGAGAAGCGACTTTTTCTTTTCTGGTGTACATTTACTTTTACCATGTGAACTTGTTAATTATCTCCCAACATCAAAACGTCTCCTTTATATATTGTTACATCTCTTTTATCCAGAGCACTTTAGGTTACTCATAAAATAAATAAAGGTTGAAGTTTACCTTGGTAGTCCCAATGGTTGCATTTTGGTTAGCTTAGGTTGGTTTGGTTAGATTAGGTTAGGTTAACTACATTTTTAGTAGACATTTCTTTTTAGGTATTTCTTTCTTCTGTCTACTAAAAATGTAGTTAACCTAACCTAACCAACCTAAGCTAACCAAAATGCACCATTGGGATTACCAAAGTAAACTTCAACCTAGACAAATTTACCTTTTGCTGCGGTTAATTTTTCGTCGCTCTTTTGCGTCCGTAATGCATCATGTGGTCGAACCGGCCCGTCTCGAATCTCTGGAGGACGAGAAAAAAGTCAGAGAAGGACCGGTCTCGAGAGGCAGAGGGTTCTGCACGGCAAACAAACGGGTCCGATCAGAAGGTCGGTCGACAGGACGAGCAAGTACGGCAGACGCCCGTACCGGGTACAAATAAAAATTTTTGACACACCTTAATTAATTAATTAACGTTAACAGCCCGCAGGCAGTTTCCGACATCCTCCTCTCTTCGACCGGCAGAGTCTCCGGATACTCTTTGTCCAAGTAACGCCAAAATCAGAGCCCGGACTTCCGTCTAAAGTTCTCCGGGTAGGCATCTCTCCGGAGGATCGCCCGCAGACGAAAAAAATCGAACCTTCCTTATTTCACAACCGACCGTAGTCAAATCGGTGGGAGAAGTAAACGTCGCAACACACAGTTTTAATTAAGGGTCGATTTACACAGAACAGTTACGTGCCGGCAGAGTGTGGCGAATTCATCCAAAGACATAGCTATCATAGCCAATTCATCCTCAGAAAAGTCCACGACCACTCACCGACAGCACGGTCACGTTACCGTCGTGCATAAATACTCATCACCGTGCAATGCTCGACGTTGTTGTCACCAAACGGTCACCGTGCCGGCACGTCACTATTACTTGTAAATCGACCATAAATGTTTTCACTCGAGGGAAGGTTTAATAAAGTGGAAAGAGACAGAGGTGGGAGAGGAGGTTTAGCCACGAGCCTCGATACTCACTTTGTAGGGGGAGAAAGCGCTTCTTCCGTCTCGATTCAGGCCGGACAACCCTATGCGGGCACTGCGACTTCTCTCGCTCTTGCCCGAATTCTCTTCGTCTTCGCCCTCCGTCCGTCGCCGACAGTCCTGAGAAGCGGCGCTGTCTTCGCTGGTGTCCGCGCTCTCCGACATTCGTCCTCCGTTAGTCTCCGTTCCTTAGATACGACGACGGTCGGAGACACTCCGGAGATTACCACTCGGGCGTCGATCCCGTCCGCAAACGACTTCCTTTTATTCTCACTCGATAATACTGACGATAACTTCCATATATTTTACGCCGACCCCTAGCTACCGGTCGCCCTCTGGCGACGATAACTTCGTTAATCTATTATCGACAAAAATCACCACGGAGGAGATTTTCCGCAATCGACCAAAATAGTAAAAGTTTTTTCTTTTACTATTTTGAAGAAGAAAAATTAGTATAAAATAATTTAAAGAAGAAATATTAAGTCCATCGTTAAAAAATAAACTTTTACGTTGCGCCTTTCTCGCCCGTTCGTCCCGCAGGCCGAGTTTCGCCTAACGACGTCTACGCCCAGGCTTCGTAAATTATTCCAAAAGAAATTTCCTTTCGATTTATGTTTGTGACGGAAAAAGTCGAAAGAAAAGTCCAGTGGCGTACCGTAGTGGGGGCGGCAGGAGCGGCCCGCCCCGGGCGGCACTTTTTAGGGGGCGGCAAAATTTCACAATAAATAATAATATCTTGTAAAAATTTGAAACATCCTAATCTATACTTGCATCGCGCCTACGATAGTGCTATCGTCCGGACAGTCTGGGAATCGGCTCGCCGTCCGGGTAAACTAGTACTTTTTTCATTCGAGAAAATCCTGCGAAACCTGTTGATCTTTCTTATTTTTATTATTTATTTTTTTTTGCGTGTATGATTCGTTCGCGTTCATATACACCATTAATATCCAATAGAACTGTTTTAAACAGGTCGCTGCACTACCACTGAATTTTTCATTGCTTGTTCTGTGACAATACTGAATTTTGGTCTTTTAAATTGAAATACCTAAATAAGGGGGGACCGAAAATTTCCTCCGCCCCGGGCGGCTGACACCCACGGTACGCCATTGGAAAAATCTCGTTTAGTTGCTTAAACTTTAAATCGAAACCTTCGTCAAAAATATTTAAAAAGAGACCTATATCCAGAACAACAGCATCACCTCAATGTGTGCGCTTCGCTGTACAATTCTTATCTCCGAGCTCCGTTTTGAATGAAATCGTTATTAGAAATAAAATATGGATCAATATAAGAATATTAATGTGTCGCAGGAGATTTAAACGAATTTCCAATTATTCAAACATTTGCTATTTCGGTAATATTATTGGTAAACGTAAAATTTTGGGCCAAAAAGTTTGAATAAAATATACTTTCAGATTCGGTAATCGGAAAGTTTTTATAAAGAGAAAAAACGGCGTCGCGATAATGAATGGGATCGAATTCGAACCGCACAAATACTATAGTATTTTTCAGAGTTAGAACGGACCCGATATGCAGAATCTCGAATGTGTATCGTTAGACCGCGGTAGCTAAACAAAGAGAATCCTTCGAAGCGTGCCGTCCGATAACTTCTCTTTTCATAAACGAAAATTTCTTGATTTCTTGCACTAGGCGACTCGTTGACGGATTATAACAATAATGAAAACACAATTAACATTGCAACGTAAAAGGAATTTAATACGGACGATACATCACGTATATATCAGCGGCGCGATGGCGCCTACTAATTTTTATATATTCCAAACAATTGAAAGTATTTCTAACAGGCGCCAAGATTATTCAAATATTGCTATACTAAAATAATTTAGTTCAGTGGCGACCGGTACTTCAATTCCAAGCGGGTGGAGCGAGTGGCGAATGACGGTTCTCTTGCGCCCGAACTCAGACAGCGGTCCACGAAGTGGGGAAAAGTTGGAAAATCGCCACGCCAGTCGAATTAAGAGCCGTTAAAAAGAAAAATCTGCCAATTTTACCAGAAGGAATAATAACAAACGTCAGATACATTTAGAAAATGAGAAAAAATAAAATCAAACTGAGGAATAAAGAACGTTTTCGAGAAAATTAGGTTTTCCGGTGAAGTAATTTGGGCGGGCGTATTTTTAGAGTTTAATTAACGGCATTAACGCCAAATATTCGGAAAGAAGGAGATTTGCGTCCGGTCGCCAGGGTGAGCCCGATAATCAATCAGCTGATTTGGAAATGACGCAACTAGTTATTTACTGGTAGGCAAAAAACGACGTCGTTTGACATCGGGAACGAGTTTCGTCGTCGACCTTCGTCGGATTCTTTTCTCTGATCGACGTCGTCTTCTAATCTCGGCTAAACAATAAAATCATGGCGGCCAGTTGGGCTCTGAGGAGAGGAACTTCCGCCGTCGATTGGTGCGAAGGTAATTACCTCATATCGCCCATTATTGCGGAGTTCGTCAATACGGTAAGTCCGTCCGTTTGATTACTTCTCTTCCTCTTCCTCCGTCGCTTAATCGCTGCCGAAACCACAGCTTTGATTTTTACTATTCCCTACCGGACCGTTTTGCCTTTTAAATGGCCGATCTGTCAAAATCCGTCTTCGTCTAACGACGTTTGACCTTCCCGTCCAGATTTCGCGATAATGACCTTCTCCGCAATTTTCGTCCCGCGGCCGCGGTTTGGATAAATTTAGTCGATTTGGTTAAAAAAAAATGTTTATTCTACGAGTCGCACTAATTGCCTTTTAATAGGCGATAACCGAGGCCCGTTTGTGTTCGTGTCGATATTCCGCCTAACTAATACGGAGTCGCTACTTTATCGTTGAATAATGTCGGTTATGCCATCGTAAATAAATCCACCAATATTTGTTTACCGATAAAATTCTGTGACGACGATAAAGTGACTTGTGACGTAATATCGGAAATATTCCGTAAAGTTAAAAACGGACCCGTTTTGAAATCGAAACCCGTCCGTTATTTTTATTAATCGGTGGTAATCGTGTGCCCGCTCGATCAAAAAATATGTGGCGTCGAAAGTACGTGCTTTTTCCTCGGTCCTTTTAATCGTGCGGCGCCTCTTCCTCGGATCTATATTTGCCGTCTCTTTGGACGGCAAATTCGAACGGCGGCGGCGGATTCGAACCCGGGCGCCTTAGTTTATTTCGGGCGGACCGGAGGGGACTCGGACCGTCGCGCGGCCGAGCCTCCGGCGGATGCCGACTTCTGCCCGGATCGACACACTTTCCCGGACGTCGGACCTTGCCCGTGATTTTGGATCGTGCCGCTGTCTGGGGAGACGGTGTCGTCGAAAATTACGGGCCGTTTCCGCGGAGTCCGAGGGACGGGCACGAATTTTAAACGGGCGTTACTCTTTGGAGTGCGGGTCTGCGCCTCCCGCTATCTATTTTGATGGCATCGTATATAACCGATGGTCAAACTTCAAAATACAGATATACTTTTATGTATATATTTTTTAAACGAATGATTCTAAATGCTAATTAATATGCTTTGTAAATACAATAAAGTTTGTAGATGGGTATGCAAAACTATCCAAATTAATAAACTAAAAAGAACAAAACTGTTAAAAATATAATACAAACAGAATTTTCCATTGTTGTATAAAAAGAGAATAAAATATTGTAGCAGTGTGGCTATGCAATGGGAAAGGAGAGAATACCAGAAAATTGTAAAATGATTGCTATGGAAGTTACGGAAAATGGAAGATTTTGATACGAACTAACGGATGGAACAAAGAAATGTGGTAGGAGAGGATCTGAGGAATCGAAATAACTGGAAACGAAAGCCGAAAATGTCCAACCCTCTTAATTTGGGTGGATGAAAAAAATCCTAAAAATACATACAATATGTTTTCTATTGTAGATTCTTTTAATGTCGTTTAGTTGTGTGGTGATTTTTGGTCAGATGTCAATTTCGATGTAAAATTTTAAAGTTATTAAATGAAAGTGGGTTAATAATTGGTTGAAAAAATAAATATTTTTAAGATTAGTAGTAATTAAAAATTTTTCACAAATTGTTTTTTTTTTTTTTTTATATCAATACATTTTTTTGTATTGAAAACCCTTCAATGTTATGCAGAAAGTTGTCAAAAAATTCAAAATAGTTATTTCAATCTTTCAAATGGTAATTTGGATGATTTTTGTGGCAACTAAAATGACTAACTTATTATGTAAGACTCGTATAATTTATGCTAGCAAAACTATTCATAGAAAATAATATAATTCATTAAATACTTTTAATTTTAGTAATTAAACTTTCATTAAGATCTTATTAGATAGAGATTTACATATCCTTATTTTCTAAAAACATTAGTTTCTTTGTGATTTTGTTTCAATTTTCTTCTTCTTGGTGCCATATCAGATTCCTGACGTCGGCGACACCTGGCGTAGGTTTGTAATCCGCCAAGGTGTATACTAGGGAAAGTTACTACCCAGAGTGGTTTCCCGTTGCCTTCTCTGGGGCGCCGGGAAACCACTCTGTTTCAATTTTATAAAATAATAATTAGAATTTTTTTTAATACTTATAAATGTGAAAAAATTTTTAATTATTAAAAATGAAATGTTTTTAATAAACTGGTATTTTAATTATAGATGGAATTCAAATATGTTTATCATAGGACATACTTTTTTTTCTTTTAGTTTTCATATGAATGTTAGAATAGCCCTATGCAATAATTTTTTAATTTTTCTGCCTGTTAAAGAATATATATTCTTCTTATCACATTGATGCCAGTTCTAATATTGTTTGCTACTATGATTACGGAATTTAATTAATCGTCGTCCTATTTTAGAAGTATCAAAATTAATAAAAATTGCCAAAATTTGAATTATTATTATTTAATGATTAAAATATTCAGAAACTTAACAAAATTCTCATAAATCACAAAATTTATTCAAGTATAGAGGCACTATATATTTTAGATGTTTCATTTTAATTTAATGATTAGATAAAATTATTAATTCAGAATTGATTGAAAAATGAACATTACAGAATAAGCTAATAAAATTATTTAAATTAATTAATAAATATTAGATCTACATGTAAATATATATGCTTTGCTTATACTTTGGTGTACATTGTCTTTCTGCAATCTGAAAAAGTGATGTAAATTGTGATATTTGCATTTGAATTTCCCAACAAATATAGTTTCAAATTTAGCTTTGCTACAGCTGGTTTTTGAAATGAAAATAAAAGAAAAAAGGATAACATCTGGAATGAAAATTATTTTAAAATGTATCTGTTTAATAATTGCAAATTTTTATAAATACATTTTTAGTATTTCTAGATTCAGAACAAGTTTTGCTTGGAATCTAATTTTACCAGAATTACATGATAATTACAGTTTTAGTTATTTTATTTATTATAAATATAGATTCTATGTAAAAATGTTTTGAATTGTCTGGAAACTAGGTAGTTTGAGAAAATATATATTAATAAAATAGCATTTTACACAATTAAAATACATTTATAAGCATCTCAAAGCCCAATGCTTTCAATAATAAGCCAAATCGGGCTATTTTATCGCTGCTATTAACAATGTAATGGTAAAGTAACTCAATTTGATTCTGCAATTGTTTGGCTTATAATTAAAATACATGTGTTTTTGTTGTCTCTGGAATTAGTTTTAATAAAGCTAGATATAATATAGATATTCTTATTTAATGCTTTTGATATTATTTAGCAGTATTTTTGTTTTTATTTCACAACTGTTTGTTACAAATATATGAATTTCACAATGTACATTAATATAACTCTTGCATAAGCTTTTTTTTTTGTTGTTTGAAAAAATATTACTGAATTATTGAAAAGTGTTACTGTTGTAAATTTATATATATATAATATACTAGCACTGTACATGCCAGTTTGTTAAGTTAACATGTTTTGATATCTTTTCATACTTAAGAAATAATAAAATAACAAAAAATATTAACACACGAGAACCTTATTATATCCCAGTAATGATAAAAATTAAATAAAACTAATGTTTTCGACCATATTCATGATCTTCCTCGAGCTTTTGAGCAGTACCTCCTATGCCACGGAAACTTGGAACACAGATATCTGAAACAATCCCCATCTCTTGGCAGTGATTTGACAAACTGCTTTGAGCCCCAATTTAATATGAAGAGATGGTAATAACACTTTTTCTGGGGAGCCAATGTCTTCTTTGTTGACTTTTCACTGTGTATTCACCACAAATATAAAAGAAGCTGTCGGGAGAAATTACACAACCTCTGCGAGCCATATTCCAGAAATAAAAATACAAGCACAGTAGCATTCGAATGCTGGATATAAACTGAGTGTGGCATTAGATGGCCAGCGAGATACTGAACTTATTTAGCTTGTTGAAACATGATCTAATCCAACAGCAGGTTGTTTATATTTATTCCTAGTATCCAGATAACACGTCGAAACATGCTCAACCTCACCAGTAATATTACTCACTATCAACTTTTAACATGTTTCTACACGATCATGCGACCTTCCTCCTAACGCTAAAACTACTTAACCCACCTCCTCCTACCACTACTCTCTTCAACCATTAACATTTTTTATTTATTTATTGCCAATTCCTGCTATAATTTATAGAATTAATGTGAGAAGTCTTCGTTTTAAGGCCATTTTTTAAATAAAAAAAAGAATACTAAATTTTAAGTTAACTAGGAATTTTATGCTAAATACAAATAAAAACTTTAGTGTAACAAAAAAAATTGATGTGGAATTTGTTTGGCATTTTTTCATTTTTACCAAGTTGAAATCTGTAAGAAAATGTATAAAAATCCTATGCAGTTTTTTACTTGCAGACCTGGAAGAACAGCTCTACTG